GAATCGACAGCAATCGATGGAAAGCGTAAGTGGAGCTCAAGAGGGTTTCTGTGGGTAAGCTGGAGACCTTCTAATTACTATAATTGCTCCTATAATTGTGCCAATCTATAAGATTCATCTAAAGTAAACTAATAAGAACAGATGCAGGTAGCACAGAAGGAAAATTACTTTTTTCAGAACATTTCGTTGTTATAATTAAGAGATCTTTCTCGTGTTTCCCCCTAAAATGTTCTCTCATTCATTTGAGTGTAAATTTAAGTAGAATTCCCCCCACAAATCCAATGTCAAGGTTACTCATCCATCAAACAATGACAATTTCTGTGCAATATTTGGCAATTTGTTCACCTGTGTGCTGGGGATGTGAGTGGAACACCACTCATTGCCGCTCATTGCCGATCATTGCCACTCGTTGGCACACATTGCGTGCAAATAGAACTCCCCGAAAAGCAAACCGGTGGAAAGTTACCCAAGCCAGCATCGAGTGCGAGTGCTTCGAATGACTCACGGGAGTGTATGTAAATTTCCCTTTTGGGCGCAAAGCAGCAAGTGATGCAGAAATGTGCGAATTGCACGACAAACTGTTTTGAATGAGATGCCGAGCCGTTGTGCAGCAGGGGTCACACAGTTCCCTGAGCTCCTCTGTGCATTGAACTTTCGGGGGGATTCCCACAGAATTTTGGTACTTGCCACAGCTGTGTGCCTTGCAGCCACAGCATGTTTTGTAGCCATGCGACAAGGTGTTAATTTAACTATAAATAGAGAGACAACTGTGGCCGCAATCGGGTGCAACATCTAGGCGGCGCGTACAAACGCGGCTCGTTGTAATTGGAGGACAGATTGCCGGCGATGTTGCGGCCCGGCACGCATGCGTAACACGGCGGCAACTGGCGGACAGAACAATGAACCGCAACAAAGCCTCTGTTGCATAAATTAACAATCGCAATTAGTCACCGGGAACATGTTGCAACACCAGGGGCCACTGCACCACCAAGAGACTGTCAGACTGGCACTTGGATTGGCACTTGTCTGGTGATTGAGTCATCTTCTGGTGCATTCATTCACCTGCAACAGGTGCTGCTGGTGTTGCGGCGCTGTGACGTCCGCTTTTGTTCTCGAGATTAAATCGTTTAAAGATCGTTTCAGTGTTTACTGTTGAATGTTTACTCAACTTTTCGGTTTATGCATCGGGCAGAAATTGTGAATAAATTTGAGCTGCCAAAATGTTTATAAATTGAGTTGAGCGAAACGGCCATAGCAGCAACTTAAATGCATAATTAAAAAATTAAATGATATTTCAGCGGCAACAAATTTGTTGACCATATTTTATTTATATTTCGCTCGGTGTTTATGGGGCTGTGTTTGTGTTTGTGTTTGTTGTTGGGCGCCAAAACACATCAACTCTGCGAGCATTGGACTCTGTTCTGGAGGGGAAGATACATATAGAGGGGGCTGAGCAGGGCAGCGGAAGCAGCGACACGACAACAGAAAGTGAAAGGCCCCTGGGGAGGGGTTCAAGCAAATGCCTCTGGGGACCTGCAAAGGTTTGCTGAACTCTGAGCAAATAAGAGGTTGAATGCCATCGAATTATGCAACTGAGGGGGGGGGGCAGTGAGCTAAAGATACTTCCGTTACCATTTCAGGGGAGCGTTGAGCTGAGCAGAGGGAGCTCCAAGCCGCCAAGATACTCGAATACTGATAAAGAACATAATATTTGTATGCCCTTTTGATGGCGCATAATCAAAGTCAAAAGCAATCGAAGCCCCGCCAAAAGACTGCCCAGAATCTTTCCTCTTTGTTCTCAGCAATTTTTCTATTGCCAAATAGTAGAATCTCGGCCGAAACAATGGCCAAATAAAGCTGTGAGCTGTGACTCTCTGGGGCTGGGGCTACACTTTAATGTAGCCAACGAAACAACAAGACAAAAGACAATTGTCAGAACGGCACGGCTCGGCACGGCACGGCACGGCACACGAAAATCAGAACAGAGCGAACGAGCGGCAACAATGGGCCAAAAGCGAATTCAAAGCGATTCAAGCCACCAGAACGAACGAACGAACGAACGAGCCAACGGCCACAAGAGGGTCGGGTCTATGGGCCTGGTGCACCAAATGGTGGATTTGGATTGGCCTGACAGCCTGACCCAGTTTACGCCACAATTATAAGCCAGTCTTGCTCTTTGTCTTTGTTCTTGTCACTGCGCAGGCGCAGCAGCAACAGCAGCAGCAACAGCAGCAGCAGTAACAGCAACAACTGCCACAAGAGCAACAGTTTCATTTTGCACTCGATTTTTGGGCGTCTAGAAGAGTCGTGGCAACGAAACGAAACGAAACGAATCTTTGGCGCTGACATTTGATAGTTGGCTTTCAAATTGACTACAATTGAGTCGAGAGCAGCAGCAGCAGCAGCAGCCAACGGACGCTGTTTGATTCTGTGTTACTGTGTCGCCTTGGCGTTGCTCTAACTGAATGTTTGCTGTCTGTTTGCTGATGTTGCCCCCAAGCAGCTACAGCTACAGCAACAGCAACAGCGACAGCTCTGTGCCCATTCCCAGACAGATAGACAGACAGCAGAGCCAGAATATTGTCCAAAAACTTCTCCCCGTTGCCCCGCACGTTCTTTAATTGTAATTTGATTTGTGGCAAATTTGATTGAGGACGGCTTCGTGCCCCACAAGAGAATGAGAAGGAGTAACGTAAATAAGGGCAGGCAGGCAGGCAGCTTTTCAATTAGCCAACTTTTGCTGGATATTTGCACACAAATTTGGTTAATGCTGAGCAGTGGCCAGGCCAGGCCAGTGCAGAGTCCTGGGAGCAGTTTTAAAGCTCATTGCGGAGCAAACACACGCTGATGCTGCCACATGAAGACCGCCTGTAGCTGTGTGTATGTGTGTGTGTGTGTGTTTTATGTTTGACCCAAATTCCTGCAGAGCCATGCAAAGTGTTGCTGCTGCCGCTGACGCTGCTGCAACATCCGAAATGCAATTTCTGCTTGGCAGGCGTCGCGCTATTTTCCTTTTTTATTGCACATTGTTGCCGCTGCCAACAAAAGCTTTGCAAATTAAATAAAAGCCAGGCCACGCCCACCCAGATATACAAACAGGGGCACACAGGCAGCACAGCAGTTGCAACACGGGGGCAACATAATTACATTTGCTTGCTAAAACATGAGGGACGGTGGGGGGGGGACAAAGCTAAGCCGAGTGGCATGACCCATTAAAATCCTACAACTCTAACATTTGCACAGGGAATTTCGCTGAATGGAAGCCCGGATTTGGCTTTCAACGATTTCAGTCGATCTGTGAGGGAACTTAATTGGAAAATCTCTCACGGAGTGGCAGCAGCAGCCAGCAACAGACTGCAACAGCAGCAGAGGCAACATCAGCAATAGGCCATCGACAATCGGCAATCAGAAAACGGCAATTGCTGCATTGCCATAAACCATAATAACCCCCCTGCTGCCCCCTTGCCATTTGACTCGACAAAAGTCTAATTAAACCGAGCAAGCGAAAATCAAGAGGCGCCTCGAACGAGGAAACGATGCAACGCCCACTAGCATCAGCAGCAGCGGCAGCAGCTGCAACATCTGCAGCTGCAGCAGGAGCCACCAGCCAACAGCCACATCCATGCAAGGCCCGAACCAAAACTTGCCACAAAAGCAATTTAACTAAATTATTGAACTTTCCGTATGCATTGAGGCAAAGTAAAAGTCTCCAAGTAAAAGCCAGCCCAAAGGAGGAAGAGCCACAAAATGCTGGTGGGGATGGAAAGAGCACAGCTTAGGTCATGGGAGCGAAGCTGCAATACTCTACAAGCGAAGGATAAGCACGGCTAAGTGCACAAGGATTTTCATTACTTAAAGAGAAACGAAACGAAAGAAGAAACTCGCAGAAGAAGATAGGCGCTATTGAGATTTACATGAAATCTAGACTAAGCCAAACTAAATGTTGCCCAATCCGTTCCACGATAGAGCATTCTTGCAGACGGAAAATCTCTGCACTGGAAAAATCATTAAAAGTGGTTAAGGCAAACACCAAAAGCCTTTTGTCGTACAATCTGGTCGGGGAGGAGTCAGGGGAGTCACAGTCGAGCGTGTGGGTCGAGAGGACTGGCTGCGTGGGCGCTGTGGCAGCAGCATGGGGGGAAAATTAAGGAAATGTTTGCCCAACACCAGGCACGCCGCTGCAGCGAGACAAAAGCCATAAAAAATTGCAACAAATGTTGCTGGCAATAGACACGACTAATAAATGTTGCTCGCGTGCAGCGACAGCAAACAGCAAGCAGCAACAGCAAGAGCGACAGCAACAATGACAGTGACAGCAACAAATATCTTTTGCCTGCCACACACACAGACACAAACACCTACAGAGTCCCCTTTTTCTGTGTTGCAACGATGTTGCCTTGTTGCCTGGTTGCTGGAGTTTATGTGCCGCTCTCTTGTTTCCGATCTTTTTGGGCAATTAATTGTGCAACATCAAATAAATTGCATTCGAAAGCAGCTACAACGGCTCCAAAAGGGTTCCCCAGAGTGCTTGCTGCCGCGAAAAGCCATAAAAACTAATTTCGCTCTTGGCCCGTGGGTGGATTTTGGCTTCAAGTAAAGCTGTCGTTTCCGCAAGCCTAAGCCCGGAGTGGTTTATGGGTGCTTAGCTAAATGGTTTGCCAGATAGTAAACCCGTTTTGGTAATGGGAAAATTATCTTAAGTAAAGGCTTTACAACGTTTCAGGAAGCATCTGGATCAGCCCACTGGCGTGGGTATTCGTTGGTATTCATTAGTGCGAATAAAGTAATCCAAAACCATTGACAATGGCCCGGAGAAGTAGCTGACATAATCTTCGATCTTTGTGCAGAAATTTTGCAGCGATTTCGCAGCTAATAAAGTCATCAAGCAAGCATAAAGCTAAAAAAAAAAAAATAGCCAAACTAGGTGCAGCCTCCCCTTCACTTTGTTTGTGCAACATTTGGTAACTGTATTCGCGGCGTACGGTGGAGGTGGTACTCACAGTCGCGGCTCATGCCAGCGGAGAGGCATTTCTTGAAGCGGCAATACTGGCAGCGATTGCGGTTCAGGCGGATGACCAGACACTTGCCGTCCCTTAGGCAGCGGTACTCGATCTGCTTCTGGATGCTGCGCCGAAAGAAGCCCTGCAAGGGAAGAGTGTTTAGTGATCGATGTGGTGGGCAGTGGGCCACAACTCACCTTGCAACCCTCGCAGGAGGTTACACCATAGTGGTAGCCGGAGGCCTTGTCACCGCACACTTTGCAGGGCACAAACGATTTCGAGGAGACGCCGTTGCTGTTGTTGTTGCTGCTGCTGCTGCTGCTACTGCCACTGTTGTTGTTGTTGTTGCTGGAGTCGGCTATGCCAAAAGATTGCTGTTGCTGCTGCTGCTGCTGCTGCTGCTGGGGGTGCTGTTGCAACTGTTGCTGCTGATGTGAGTGCGGCTGCTGTAGCTGCGTTGTCTGTGGCTGCTGCTGCTGCTGCTGTGGCTCTGCAAAGGAAAAATTCATGGATTTCGTGTACATTTCCTTGGCATGAAAGTTGTCTGGCAAGTGGATTATGCAACAACCTGGTTGCCATGCCACACATTGGCCATACATCACATGTGTCGCACAGCAATTTCAATTTGCCAAATGAGTTTGCTGTCACCAACCATATCACACGCTCCAAATCTGATGTGTGTTCTGTGTATTTCCTTATTGGAAACACCGATTGGGATTCCAAGACAGCTATCGGAGGGGTGGGTGGGGAGTAGAGAAGCGAGTGGCACTACTTTAAGTGGTGGGGTGCAAGCACTTTCAATTAGGGAACCTCACACGATAACCCAAATCGGTTTTACCTTTCGGTAATCCATCCCTTAATCATCCACCATTAGGCGCAATTTGCCTGGCTGAGAGCACGGACTGAGGCCAGCAATCAAAGTCACAAATGCAACAGCTACAGGGGCCATTCAACTGCAGGGCGATGTGCGATAAGAAGAAATGCCAAAATGCCAAAAAAAAATCACGTATACGCCACCGCCTACAACAGTTTTCTGCCGCTTCCTCTGGTTGCCAGTCACGAGGAAAAACTGCAGCCACACAATTTTCCCTGCTCGAGCCGAAACCAAATTTGCATTGCAAATGGCAAATGGAAAAAAAGAGAAACAAAAAAAAAAAGGCAAAAAAAATGAGGCAGAAAAAGGCTGGAAAAATTGGAGCCAGACAACCATGCTTCTTGGCATTTTCATTTTGAATTCAATTTGACTTTGTTTCTCGTTTTGTTTCTTTTATTTCTTTTATTTGTTTCGTATTTGAGTTGTCTAATGCCGCAGGAAGAGGCAAATGAACTAAGCGCGGAGTTTGAACTGCAGTTGTTGCCACACCTCGAAACATGCGAAACAAAATGAAATTAATGTGCAACTCGCACGCGCCGACAAACAGTGGGTAGAGAGGGGACCGAGGCGGCAGCTCCACAGATGATGGGCCAGCAGCAGCAGCAGTAGCAAGAGGTAGTCGCGGGGATTGAAGGAATATGTAGATGGGGGACACTGCGCGTTACGCGCTTGTGCAATTGCAAATTGAATTTTCACCATTGGACAGCAACAGCAAGAGAAACAGAAACAGAAACAGCAACAACGATGTCTGGAAAATGTCGTCGGCATGGGCCTGGGCCTGGCGGGAATCAAAAACCAAAAGGAAATTCAAGTGCCTGGTTTTCATTTTCGCGCCGCGTTCAAATGCAAATCATTTGGTCGCCTTTGTACGTTGACAATTTCAAACGCCATTGTTCGAGTGGCCAAGGGGGAGGCGGCATGACACAAGAGCGGGGAAATGTGGCATGGACTGCTGCTTGGCATTTCCGCGTTGTCAGACAACAGTCTGTGGCAGAGTCAGAGCCAGAGCCAGAAGCAGAGTCAGACGATAGACGACAAAGACTTCATATTTTCGCTTGATTTTTTCTCCATTTTCTTGGATTTATCTGCAGACAACTGATTGAACGAGTAGGGGGAACAGATACGGGGGCAGAGGGGCTGGGCTGTTGGGCAGATACGAATATCAATTGGAGTTTGTGGCAGCTGAGTTTTCCTTCTCCCCTGATGAAATTGTATTTGGCTTTCCCCTAGATTTAATTTGCTGGCAATTTGCATTTGCCTGGAACTGCCCGCACTAATTGCAGCAATTAAATGTTGCCCCATGCATCCATCATGCCCCATGAATCCTTGCCAGGCCAGGCCAGGCCAGGCGGTGAGGCAATTAGCAAGTCCAGCCAAGACGCCGCTGCTCGAGTGCTTATGGTTTTTATGACATTACCTCAGGGTTGCAGCACTGTCCGTTGCCTCAAATGGGTTTTAAACTCAATTTTTTTGTGCCCGATTCCATTGCAATTTCCTTGATGCTTCCAGCTAAACCCCATTCCAATCATATCATATCATATCATATCATAGGAGTAGAGGTAGAGTAGCCTGCGAGGAGCGGCCAATTCCGAGCGATTTATGAAAATGAAATCAGTTTTTGCATGGCTTTCAATTGCGGCATTGGCAGCCACAGCACAGCACAGCCACAGCACACAGCATTGACAGACTGCAACATGAAAAGCAATTTTCTTGGCACCGAAAGGCGAAGAGGTACAACTGCAGCGTGGGGCAGCAGCAGAAGAGGCCCAACTGCTGCTGCAACGGCAACACAACTGGCCTCAACAACATTGGATTGGCCAATAACAGGGAATTATATTCATTTTCACATTTTTCATGCTGCGCTTTAATAGTTTTCCCTCAAAAGGAGAAGAAGAGCCGACAGGCAGCAGCTGGGATGGGAGGTTGCCACCAGCAGTTGCAAGCAACTTTCAATTGGTTATGCGACTACAGTTGTTGCTGCCGCTGCAGCCGCCGTGTTATGCAATGAATGCAAATTTATTGAACATAATTTTCCAACCGCGACAACAATGGGACCCCCAGACCCCAAACGCGGAAGAGTCGAGCAGCGATCTCGGCTTGCAGATGGACATGGACATGGACATGGACATACCTGAATGGCCTTTGTTTAGATGCGCAACAGATGAAGATGTTGCTGCGCTGGAGCTGGAACCGCCACCTGAGATGGAGATGGAGACGGAGCTGGGACTGCAGTTGTTGCTGGAGCTAGAGCTGGAGCTGGAGCTGACCGCTGACGAGGATGTATGAGCATTCCCGCTGACATTGACAAGCGACGTGGATGTGGATGCGACTGCTGCGGCGGCTGCGGCTGCTGCTGCTGCTGCGGCAACAACTGCGGATGAGCGGCCAAAATGCTCCGAGCAGCTTGATGACGATGATGACGAAACGGCGTGGGAGGAGGTGGAGCTGGCCGAAGAGCAGCCGCTGTCCGGCGAGGCGTGGGCCCCACTCGATGAGGGGGAGGAGCTATGGTGGTGGCCGCTGCTGCTGCTGGCCGGACCGAACTGATGCACACTGCTGATGGTGTACAGAGCACCTCTACCATTGCTCAAGGTGCAATTCAGCTGCTGCTGCTGCTGTTGCTGCTGTTGCTGCTGTTGCTGCTGTTGGTGTGCGCTCGGATTTGTGTTTGAGTTGTGGTGTGGATGCTGATGCGGGCTCTGATTGTGACTGTGGGAATGGTGTGGATGGGGATGCGGTGCAGTGGCAGATGTGGCTATGACTGGCGCTGCCACACCCTCGCTTGCAGCGGACGGGCCGTAGTAGTCGTCGCACTGCAGCAGCTGCAGGGGATCCGCATCCGCCGCCTCGATGGCACTTAGGCAATCCTGCAGCTGCCGCTGCTGCTGCTGTGGTTGGTCGTCCTCTCGGTCCTGGTCGTGGTCGTGGTCCTGCTCGGAGTCTAGGCTGGCGGCCTCGCTGTAGGCACCTTGTGTCGAGGAGTCCTCGGGCGTGTCAAAGAAATGCAAATTGAAATCGGAATTTGCATCGAAATTGACTTCTGGCAGGAGTGGCCTTTCTTCGTCTTCGTCCTCGTCCTCGTCTTCCTCTTCTGCGTTGTCGTCGTTCCCTTCCTCTACCTCCTCCTCCTCCTCCTCTTCCTCGTCGTCCTGGTCTTCCTGCTCTTCCTGGTCGTCGTCAAAGTCCTTGATGTGGCTATCTCCCAGCTCCTTCTGCGGCTGCGGCTGCCCGACTGCGTGCTTCACACAAGTTTCAACCAACAGATTGGAGCGGATTTGTGCCTGTGCCTGTGCCTCCAGCTCTATTTGGTACACATCCATGTTGCTCGGATCGCTGCGGTTACATGGCCATCCATCATCTGCATCATCAACATCTTGCTGCGGGAACTGCGGGAACTTATCAGCATGTTTTTTTGGCAGGTTGGCCGATGGGCAGGTTCTGGCACGTTCCCAAGTACTTTGGCACTTTATCTCGATAAAATCTCACGATCTCGAGACTTTACTTAACGTTCGTTCGTTTTAGGGATCCCTTTTTCTATCGGTTTCCAAACTATTTGAGGGGAAATTTTGGTATTTGTTGGTAACTTTCTCTGCCTTAAATCTGAAAAATCCTCAAAGCTACTTCCAAACTAATTCTAATTCTAGATCTAAAAAGGATGCAAATTGCAAGCCATTCTTAAAGGGCTTCCCAGATCTAATGTGTACAGTGAAACCTCTCTTGGCGCAAAGAGAGTTGGTTGTCCGTTCGCCAAGAGAGCTTTCACTGTCTTCCTTTCTCTCTCTCTCTCCCCCCTGATTATTGTCTACTCTGTTTTCTTGCTCTCGCCCATTTCCCATTCTCCTTTCTCCGTTTTCACTTTCACTTTGCTTTCATAATTATTGTATCATGGTATTTATTTATTTATTTATTTGTATATTCAATTCACTTCCGTGTTGCTTGGATTCCTCCAGATCCACATAGAACTTTACGGGAGGGGGGCTTTCTAAGTGTCTTTGTATGTTCAAGTTCACTCGTTTGACAGATCGATATTTGATATACGATATTGGATATTGTATATTGGATATTGGGGAGGGTTGGCTGCTGGCTGCTGGCTGTTGGCTGTTCCGATTCGCGTTGGAGAAATTCTGAAATTGCAGCGATCGCGCGCACGAAACTCTCGCCTCGACGAGATCCAAGCGCCAACTTCGCAGCGCTCCAAATGCGCAACAGAAATCCAAGGCGAGCTGCAGAACAGAACCTACGACAACAACGAGCTACGACAGCGGCAGTGGCAGTGGCAGCGACCAAGACCAAGTCCAAGACGACGGGCAACGACGGCGACGCCAAAGAACAAGAATCCCCATGTGTGTGTGAGTGTGTGTGTGTGTGGAAAGAGCAGGAAAATAGAATGTGGCTGGGGCCTCTGTGTGGCCCAATGGAGTGAGGAGGGGGGAAAACTACGTAGCGCCGTTGCTTCAAGCACGAGGTGGCACTTCTCTGGGGGAGGAGGAGGCGGAGGCGGTGGCGGAGTAAGAGTCAATGTGCTGCAGGCTGGAGCCGTGCTTCCCCTGGTTTCTTTCCTATCTTTCTAATCTCCACCAAGCAAAAGCAGCAGCAGCAGCAGCGCCAACACTACCACTAAGAACATCAGGCATTGCCACTCTCGCTGCTGCTGGCACAGCTGCCTCTGCTGCCTCTGCTGCCTCTTGTTGTTGCACTTTTCCATTTGCAACTCTTTTCCTGGTTGCTATTTTCAATTTCTATTGCGCTGCCGCTGACGCTGCTGACAGCGACGCCAACGCTGACTTCCAAGTGCATCCACACACACACACACACACACCACTCAAGATCAATTTCACACACACAAGCGCAGCATAGAGAAAGATAGATAGAGAGACAGAGAGAGAGGGAGAGAGAGAGAACCGTTACCTAGTTTGCACTATCATCGAAAGAGAGAGCAATAGATGGTCCCAGTGTGTGTGTGTGTGTGTGTGTGTGTGTGAGTGTGTGCAAGAGAGAAAGATGAAGTGGGGGCGCCTGCATGGGGAGGGAGTCAAAGAACCTTCTTCTGCTTTGGGAGAGAGTCAGACACAGAGTCAGAGCCAAAGAGAGCCAAACTAGAGAGCGAGATGAGCTCTCTCGCTGAGTGGGAGAGTTTTACAATGCGGAAGTGGAAAATGTTGCAGTGGAAAGTGGCAAACAAGTTTTTGGCACAAGAAGAACTATTTGAAGATCAAATGAAATAGAACTTGAATAAGGGCAGGGAAAACCCTAATGAAATAAATACATTTTCCTCAATGTTCCTCCCCCACCCTTTACCTTCTTGAGGGTTTCCAAGGCACAAGAAAACTAAATAGATATTCGATAATCCAATAAAATACATCTTAAATTAAGGCCAACTTTTCTCAAAAGAAAATCTAAATTCCCATTACCCCCCCTCCAGCCCAACCCTTTCGTCTGCTTGACGAATGCCTGGCCCAAAAGGGAACCAACGAAAGTCAATGATCAGCAACGGCAGCAAAAGCCACCAGCGACGTGAGCGTTAACGTTAGCGTCAGCGTCGACTGCGACTGCAACTGCAACTGCAGTTTGCAATTTTTCCAACGGGCAGCGAAAGCCACCAGAAACTGTAAATAACAAGAAAACGGCAACTTCGCGAACGAAACCCAACGAAGCCGTCAACGATCCTCCACGAAAGCGAAACGACACTCGAGTCCGAATCGAACCAGCACGCAGCAGCAGCACCCCCGTCGTTGCACCATCAGCCCGTTGCACGCCCCAACGTAATATGTTCGATTGCGTTGCCTGATAAAACCTGATCTCCCCACACACACACACTGCTGCTGCTGCTGCTGCTGCTGTTTCTGCCTGCTGCTGCTGCCCAGAGCAGAGCGCGGTGATGGCGATGAAGACGAACCAGGAAGAGAAAAATGAAAATGCCGCTCGCAAAGATTGTGTAATCGATGTGCATAAGTGTGTGAGTCAGTGAGTGTATGCGTGCGTGTGTGTGTGTGTTTGTGTGTGTGCTTCGAGTGAGAGTTGTTTGCTGTGGTGGCGGTGGGTGGCAAGGGGCGTGCGGCTTCCCCCCCTCTCGCATTCTATTCTTATTATGTGCCCAGCCCAAGGTACTTTGTCAAAGAGTATTAGTAGAATTACCTGAACTATTTTGTGGGGTTCGTTTGGGGGTTTAATCTCCTGTTATTTTTTGTTTGTTTAAAGATTAGTTCTTTGTGATTCGAAGAACAGTACCAATTGAAAATAAACATTTAAGAAATCATTTTTATTAATAAAATGTATTTACGAACGACATTTTGATTCAAAACTTTTAATCCCGCTCAAAATATGTAATTCCAGACAAAAAAATTAATTCAACAAATCACAAAGTTTTGAGTTTTCTTCGAGTGTACTTTTCAATGAAGTTTTCGGCAAGAAAGTGCATTTCACTTATCATCTGCGAGCAGCGAGAAGCGAGAGGTGGCTGGTGCTTCCACATTTCTCTGGCAGAGACTTCTTCTTCCTGCTTTTCTCTCTGCCTTTGCTTTTGCCTCTCTCTCTCTCTCTGTCTTCATGCTCGCGTTTTCGCGTTTTATTTATTTTGCTATTGTTGGCGGCGGGCGGCGGCTGGTCCTAAGTTCAATGACTTCGAGGCAACGTCATGGGCAACATCTGAACAACAATAACAACAGCAGCAACAACAACCACACAAACATCACCATTACGCGGGCAGCAACAAAGAGGCGCAAAATGCGTTTAGTTTTAGTTTTATTTATTTGCTTATTATTATGCCACTGCCCGCTACACACAAAGAAAAACCTCAGAAATGTTCTTGATTTTCTAAATATAATAATTTTTGATCTTTCAAGGTAAAAGGTTTCACACTCGCTGAACATGAGAGAAAACTTTTTATTTACACTCCCCAAAATTGCAAAATTAAATACCTTCACCTACCCGTCCATCAAAATTATGGTACAAATTATATTTTTAGAGGTATTTTAGAGATAGATGGGCCATTAAATCAAGTACATTTTCGGCAGTGTAGTCCCTAAGATTCTCTTGAATGTGAATTCTGTTTACTTTGCAAATTTTTCCTGCTGCTGGCAACATTTGCGGCCAGTTGCCGAGGCCCGACGACGGACTCTGATAGCATTGGACTATCTGGTAAACAAACTGGCGGAGTGAGCGCAAGTTGCGTTAGAAATTATCACTTGAAATGGCACTGGACTCGATTCCATCGGTGGAAATGTTCCAAACCCCAAACAGATCAAATGAGGTTGAAATTTAATAGTGACTGGAAGAATTCGAATGCCAGGAAACGAGTAAAGAATGTGGAATGTGGAATACGAAGAGATAGCCCTATAAACGTCAGAGCAACCCAACTGCCACAAATTGTGGCAGGCCAGACCAGGCCGCATTTGGCATTTCTGCCCAACACTTTGCGACTCTATGCGCGTGTTTGTGGCATGTAAAGTAAACCAAACCAACTGCAGTTCTATCCCTGGCATAGTAGCGGCGGCGGCGCGGGCGAAGGAGCTGGCATTGGTTGGTTGAATGTCAGCAACCTCAATAAAATGCTACAATTCGTTTGCATTTCTTTGTTCCTGGGTCATGATCTGGTTCGTGGCCAGCTATAAATAACAGCCTCGCATTGGGAGAATCGGGGGTTGTGGGGTCTTGGGGTTTTTGGGGTTGTGACTTACCCAATAGGATATCACTGCATCCCGAGCCGGAATGCGAGCTCAGCGAGGAGATGTGTTCGTCCGAGGGGCTCTGGGGCGCCTCTCTCAATGGGCTGCTGGGCGTGGTTGGGGGCGTATTCAGGCAACGCTGGCTGCCCAAAGCTGTGACTGTGGCTGTGGCTGTGACTGTGGCTGCTGCTGCTGCGGATGATGTCGATCCAGTTGGGGATTCAATCTTGAAGTAGCTCCCACTGACAACGGGCAGTCTGTAAGTGCATCAGGATATACTATACATATACACATACATATATTTAGATATTCTATAATTGCCTCAATGTCAATGTCAAAGATAATTGCTAACAAGAGAACCGCAAGCTGGCTTAAAAATTCAAGTAATTATCGTTAGCTTAAGGTTCCACCCATCGCTAACGACCCCCAATGCCAGGCCGAAGCCAAGGCAACCCCCTCCCTTATTTATTTTCTTTGCACGTCTTACACTTTCCCTACTTCCCTACCCCACACCCTACCTCTCTCTTCTACGTAATTGATTGGAAAAATGGCCATTCATGTTAAGTGCAGGCGGCTATGGCCATTCATTCCCAAAGAGATAGCAAGAGGGAGAGACAGAGAGACACCCTGTATTGGCCATCTCTCTGCTGGCACAATTCTTAACTCGTTTTGCCTCGTAATTGGCCATTTTCCCTAGTCCAGCTCGGGCTAGAATTTATTGAATATCAACGTTGGCTGGCGGTTCCTGGTGGATGGCGGAGGGTGCGGGGTGGCACTTGAGCCACAAGCACTCCATCCCATCCCCCACTTTGATCGATACGATAGTCTTGCTGTGTGGCTGTGCTTGAAATTTAAGAGCCATTTCCTGGCCGGAGAGGAGAGCCTTTCCTTTTTAAGTTGAAAAGTTTTATGGAAATCTCGAGATTTATTGCCCTCACAGCTGAAGAAGAAGCGCAGGCCGATAGCTCGAGAGCATCACATTTCCCCCCTCTAATGTCGATTGTGTGATGGCTTTTGAAAATCGGATAAATCAAGTATACGCACTGGTATTACTCATACGCCACCGAAAGCAAGTCAAACCGAAGCCAGAGCTTGTGTGGCATCTTGTGGCATCCTCAGGGAACGAAAATCAATAGATGCTTTGCATGCTACTTCCTTTGCTGCTCCTTGCTCCCATTTCCACATGTTCTTTTTGCCTCCCAGGACACGTATCCAGATGCTGTCTCTGTATCTGTATCCGTATCTGCCTGTATGCCTCCGTGCCACTGCCTCAGCCTCTGCCTCTGTCTGTGCCTCCGCTTGTAGTTTGCTTTTACAATATTTCCACGTTGTTATGCACTTCACTCGAGTGCCTAGACCGAGCACTTCCACTTGAGGCTGCTGTTGCTGC